TCAGGGACATTTTGAGGCGAAACTCGACGAGTGTCGCGTAACGTTTACGGACGTACACACACACAAGCGTACGTTTATGTACCTGGTGGATGTCCCTAAGGTCAAGGTGGCGCGTTGCTGTACAATTTTCTAGTCGATAACCGGTGCAAGGATGACTGTACACACGTATGTATGAATATCCAACGAACTGCGGTTTCTAACTCCGGCGAACTCGTTTCCGCGTGGCGTCCACCGCGAGAGTCTGAATTTTGCTTTATTTTCTGGGGCGGGCGAGTTGCTTTCTCGATTTCGATCGAAATGCAAGGAGATTCCGAAGATCGAAAAGACGCGATCGGTTAAAAAATCTCATATTCTTTATTTCGTTTGGACAATCGTCGTGATCTTCGATATTTTTGCGAAAGTGAATTAGCGTTCGCAGAATAACAGATCGCTGGAATGTGTTGAGAAACGCGCACCTTCGAACCTGAAATTGTCCTCGATTAAGGGTTCGCCGAGAAAATAGCTGAATGGTCCGTTGGATACGTCGAATAAAGGGATCGAGAGCAAGTCAAAACGTCAACCAACCCTTAATCGTCGAAGGCTCGTCGACGCTCGCGAGAACGAGAGTCCCTCGATCTACAAAACTTTGTTTTTTGGAAAACATCGAGATATCTGTATTCCTGGGAGCTGGCTTGCGTCAACGAATTGTTTTGGATTTTTTAAGGAGGAATTTTTAGGGAGCAAGACAATTTTTTTTGACAAAGAGTCATAGAGTGTGTCGGTTAATTAGTAAACGTGGGTTTGATGCAAGCCTGCAAGGAATATGGACGCGAAGGTCGATCCACGAGCGATCGAATAATCGATTAACCGGGTTCTTATGCGCCGCGTTTCGTCGGTTTCGCTCGCACGATGTATCCTGTAAACGCTTCGAAGATTCGGTTGAGCCTATCTACGAAGTAGGGTGTCCTTAAAGCTAGTTTTAGGGCCGAAAGCTCGCGCCATCGATCGGTCTCGGGTCCCAGATTCCCCCCCTTGGGGACCTCGAGCGACTGTTTTACCGACGAACGATCGTTCTTACCGACGAGAGACTGTTTTATCGACGAACGATCGTCCTTACCGACGAGAGACTGTTTTATCGACGAACGATCGTCCTTACCGACGAGAGACTGTTTTATCGACGATCGATAGAAACGCGAACTGGACATTTCTCTCTTCTCTCCGCCATTGTTTTTCGTCGATTATTCGGGGGGCTCGACGCGAGAACTTCTCTAGCGTGGAATTCGTCGATTGATTTGTGCGATCGGACGAGAGAAAGACGGGCACGAGCTCGGGCTTCAAGGATCGGATCCGCGGGTTTTCGAAGAGCTTTAAATCTAAAAAATGGAAGACGTGGGTGTGGGGGGTGGGGGCTGACCTAGGCGGGGGGACGATTGGTTCTCCGATGGAAGACGACGATCGGGAATATCCGATATGATCGACGAAACGTACGCGTGGCTCGCAATCGTGATCGAAAAACTCTGGAGCAGATTTAAAAAATCGTCTACTTTTGCTTGGTCCAAGACACAAGTCTTGGGAGAATTATATGAATCTAGACGTAACGTTGATCTTGCCCTTGTGCAAACATCGAAACTCCCCTCGATCAAACCCGGAGGAGAAATAACGTCGCGAACGGATTAGGGAAGATATATTTGATTCGATTCCAGTTAATCGAGTCATCGAGCCGCACGAAATTCTCGCGAACAAACGCTGCTCGGGGGGAAATATATCGCCCTGTCCCTGCACGTTTCGGGCAATTTCCAGCAGACCGTCCAGGCAACGAACGAGAAGGAACACGACTGCAGGAACACATTCGTTGTGCAAGTGACATGGCCACGTCGACTCGCAGGCTCGTGTTCCTTCGCTGAGCGTATGAATCTTATCGTTGATTTAAAGCTGCCGAGAGAAACGCGTTTGCACGGACTGGCGTCACGTCACGAACGACTCGAGTGGCCTGGAGGCGCTGATATTTGATACATGCTTCGATACAAGCAATAGGTTTGAGAGATTTTTTAAAGAAAATATGAGAAATTTTGCATTTTAAGTGTAATATCTGCAAAATTCTCGATGAGAAATCCCATACATGAAACAATTATTGTTGCAAAAGACTTAAAATAACAAATTTCTTCACATTTTTCTTTGCACACACAAACATTGTGCTATGTATGTTCAAACTATGATTCTGAAATTTCGATAAAGTCAAAATTATCTTTGGTGTAGCAATGAATTTGACTCCATAGAAATCAAAGTCTCGTAAAATTGTGTGATTCTCTTATATCGAAGCAAATATTGATGAGATTCGCCTATATCGAAGCAAGTATTGATGTGATTCGCCTATATCGAAGCAAGTATCAGGACCACTAGGTATCTTTAAACCACCCTCGCGTCGATTACAATTCGAAGTTGGAAGCTCGATTAATGGACGAACGATGGCGTAAAAGAAAGCTCGAGCCTGGAGACGAGTTCTTCTTAGAACGCGTGGGGTGGAATCGCAAACTAATTAACGCTAGTGGTCCAGAGAGTTTCAATTTCAACGCTAATCTAGGAGAATGATTGAGGGGACAAAAGCGAGGGGGGGGTGAATTTTCGAGTTAATCGACGATTAACGCGTCCGTATAACGGGGGAGGCTGTAGAAGGGAAACCAAGGACCACTGAAAAATGGCGTTCGCAGAAGCGAGGAGATAGAAGAGGGACGACACTTAATGGGGTTTCGATGGGATCTCGTCCTCGATCTGTCAGCCGACCGGACCATTTATCACTTCTCATTTTCCCTCGTTAACGTCGACCCCGACCACGGCCGAGGCTGATTTACGCGGAGTCGATATTCGCCTGCAGTCGATACGCGTCGAGTTATCGATACTAGAAACTCTCTCGCGTCACTTTTTTAAAAAACTCCAATATTTCCTGTCCCTTCGGCACCGAAACCACCGACAATTATAGCCTATTCGCTTGCACCGAAGCAATCTATTTATTTATTAAATTCAATCGAGCAAATTTTTTACAATGGCGTAATTTTGATTGATTTGACAGGTCCAGTGTCAACGATTCAGATCGAGATTGCACAGATTTAATCGCGTAGAAGTTTTTCAGTGCACGATCGCGAGTCACGGCTCGTTTTGTTCGCGATTCGATTAGAGCCACAGCTGGAAAACTCGAAGAAAAGGCCGCTGGACCGAAAGAGGTAATCTAAGGACGATCTACGTGATCTCCGAGAGACCTAGAAATTTCGATTAGGGGCGCGCTGGACCACCCTGGCTCCCGTGATTATGGTCGCGTGCTGAACGAATGGAAACAAAAGTCTCGTTTCCAGGACGAGGGGGGGTGAAGTAAATCCAGCGCCGTTTTCGCTACGACATTTATTTAGAATTTGCCAAAAATTTGGTAGAGTAAAGCTAGCATAATTTCGTATTAGAGAACGACAGCCTAAGATCCTACGATTAAATCCTACGATTGGTTTTGCAAACTTCTTTTCTAAAGACTGATATGAAACTCTCGACGTATCACAGGACAACTCGTCGCGAATAAGAATAGCAAGTTTTTTGAGAAAAGCAACAACAGACGATGGGAGGCAAAGGCATCTCTCTTTTCACTTGTATGATAATTAATACTTCGTGGACGATTTTGCAACTTTTTAAAAATTGCTAGTCTTTTTCTGAGATCTCGCGTTCCGCGTAGAGACAACCTCGTTTCCATTCCTCGCGGAGGAAATTTGCTTATCCGAGCATGCAAGAGAGATAAAATAGGGAGAATGTTATCAGAGGATGCGTCAACAATAACAACATTTCGATTCTGAGACCTTTGGAACCTAGTCTACATCGAAAGAAACGCCTCCGAAAAAGACGTCGATATCGTCGCTAGCACCAGAACTCGTTTAAAAAACGATAAAAGTAACCGATAGGCCGCGAGAGATCGAAAATTGAAAGCTTCGTTCCTCGAAGCTTAATCGCCTAAATCGAGTCTCGAGAGCAATAAGATTAAATAGTCCGGGGAATCTTAAAGATTGCTTCGTAACTACGGTTCCTTAATTAGACCCAAGATCGAAATTAGCGATATCGTAGTTCAATTTCCACGGAAGATGTGTTTAAACCCGAATTACATCCTGCAGGATTGGTTAATCTGTTGGGATCTTCTGGATCCATAGATGGTCAGCTTCCAATGGTTTTCAAATAACCCTGTTGCTTCCAGCAACAAGTGTCTAGTGGAGAATTTTCGATCGACAACATGGGATAAAAATTTAATGAGGGGTTCTGGGAGCCAAAATAAATCGAAAATGAAGAATAGTAATTTTTGAATTGAGGCTTCGTTGAAGAGATATCGACGCTTACAATTGCGCCTGTGCATACAGCTACAGGAACAACTGTTAATAACTTTTTAACGAGCGAAAAGGTGAGAAATTTTACTCTTGATTTTCGTCTTATTTTGGCCTCTAGAATCCCCCATAAAAATTTCTCCCACGGTCGAGGATTCGTTAAAAAGTTATGAACAGTTGCACCTCGACGCAAATTGCCTATCTAGAGGTGCCATTGTTAATAACTTTTTAACGAAGCCTCGAACAACAAATTACTATTCTTGATTTTCGACGTGTTTTGGCGTCTAGAATCTCCAGTTACATATTTGCCCCATGTAATTTTCAAACAGAGGCGGGGGAATACCCTGTAGTTTTGATGGGACGATAATTTCGATGGTGGGTCGAGCTAATAACCGAATAAATCGGTTCGTTTTATGATAGTTTGATCCTTGACCCGAGCCCGTCTCACACCCTTGTCTCGTTGTAGGGGCTGGAGGAGCTGGTGCCCTGGCGACGTTGGCGATCATTGTCGCCGGGCACGTTGAACGCGACGTTCGGCACGGTGGCCGGGTCAACCGGCTGGTAATCGGAATAGGACGGTTGCCCGGCCTGCTGCGATTGGTGAGAGTGGGAGGAAGACGAGGGTGCACCCTCGCTTATGGAGGTCGTCGAGGCGAGAATACGGCGACCGCGTACCTGGTAACGTTGGGGGTAGCAGCGGCCGCAGCAGGCGTGCAGCAGGCCGCCCCTCGAGGCAGTGCTGTGCGCGGGGGAGGTCAGGGGCGACGGCGAACCGGGCCTCTTCGGGGCGCCGTTGTAGGGCACCTCCATCTCCACGAACTCGCGATCCTGAAACAAAACCATTTCAACAAACGTTAGTGTGACCTCCATCTTGTCCCATCTTTGCACGAATTTTTAAAAATTGAAAAATCATATATTTCTTTCTAATTAAGTGGACTCAATTATTTTACTTAATGTTGATTTTTACCAAATTGGTAAATGGAAATCAACTTTGAAGAATTTCAAAAATAATTAACTAATGGAGAATTACATAAATTTTTAAATAATTATATTGCCATATATTAAACTTGTGGAGGCCCTAATAATCCATTTGAAAACCCTAAACACATTATAACTAGATGGTCACTCGAGCGCTAGCGAGAAAAGAAAGGGTCGAGTGGCCCTCTAGCGGCGACCGCGGGAACTTTCGGGCGTTTCTTTTACGAAGATGGTCAAGTAATTACCTGTTGTATCAACAATTGCTTTCGACGTTGAAACACGAATCTAATGTGTGTAATCTCGTAAATTTTTAATCCTTTATCGTTGCAGCGTAGCAGAGACCGTGCACGTAACTGCATAGTGCACTCGCGAAGTAGTTGCACAGTCTACTTGTACCGTAAAGTCAACATACTTCACGCTGACGGAAACTCTACAATTTCCTGCCTCTAAATTATTAACGATGCCCTCGACTATACTGTGAAACAAGCACTGCGTTCGACGAGGGATCGATGAGCAATTTAATTATGGGAATCATTGCTTTTTAACGCTAAATTTACGAGCATTTATTATCCATAAAATTCAACGTAAATTGGTAACAAATAATAATACATACTAAAATCCATAAAATCGATATGTAAATCTAGTGTTGGTTAAATTTACCAATGACCACGATTAATTTAATTACAAAAAGAATAATTTTGGAACAACGACGGTCACTGACTGTAAATGCAATTGTTTTCGTGCGAAACCAGAAGATAAATTCGCATTGGAGCGGCGAACCGTAGAGAAATCGTTCCCCCAACAAGTCCCATTGTTGTTAACTAAAGTTTGGTCCATCGAGTATTGCTACGAGCACGCTGGGGAAGTTGTTCTCGAATAGCCAAAGAGGAAACTCGCGTTCTAGCAGCAAATACCACCGTACGTTTCCGTCAGAATTTGGTTTACGAAATTTCTTGTTCCCCAAAAACAAATTGCAAGAAATTCGATTAACTAAAACCGATTTTTTCTGGAATATATGGTTGCAATATTCCATCGAATCTTCGCGCGGAAATTCGCCAGGAGATCCCTCGATAGCGTTTCTCTGCATCCAAAGTGCATTTCGCTGGAATTTCCATACCCAGATTCGCCTTATCGCTTCTCGAATCCTCCGAGTAGACCTTCCCCGGCAAAAGCACACGTAACGTCTGAGAATCTCGGAATTGAAAATTTGACGCGACCTTTGACCGCTACGATCCTCCCTCAAATTTCCTTTTGGCGACTTACAGGCGAAATTACTCGAATCGATGAGTTGGGAGAAGTTCCATTTTTTTCTGTTCAGAGTATACATAGAATAAGTTTAAATTTTCTCAATAAGTTAAGAGTTAAAGTTCGTGTGGTGTTAGGTCTGGATTAAGTGTAATATTTCTCGAAATTTTTGGTTTGGAAGAAGTGTCATTTTTTTTCTAGTCAGAGTATACAATGGATTTTAAAATGATGGAGCATAAATGGAGGAGTATGTGGGAGTGTCGATCAATTCAAGAGGCTCAATTTATATTTTTCTAAGTTTCATCATCAATGGATTAGGAAGAAATGCTATTTTTTTTCTAGTCAGAGTATACAATAAATTTAAATTTCGAAATTAAAAAATTCATCAAAACTATAAGAAAATGGGAATGCAATTCGAGAGGCTCAATTTACACATTTCTATAAATTTCATAATCAACGAGTCAGAACAAATGTCATTTTTTTTCTGTCCAGAGTATACAATAAATTAAAAATTCGTCAATCTAAAAGCCCATCAAAACTATAACAGAAAAGGGGTTAAATGGACGATTACGTGGGAGTTTTAAACAATTCCCCGAGTTTTAGTCTATATTTCGAGATTAAGCTCGTCCTTATCGAGGTCCTCACGAAGGAGTATCCAGGCGTGAAAATAAAACGAGCTCCCCGACAAAGGACACCCATCGTTCCACCCATTATTTTCACCCCAGCGAGACCATCGACACGTCCCTTGTGAAATATAATTGCGAGGACGATTTTCTTTCGAAGAATCCTTAACGATAACGTCGACGATGGACGTGTTCGCGTGTCTCTGGAACTTTGTTGCCCCGAAGTGGCAACTTGGGGCGGTTCTTTGTCGCATACTGGAGCAAGGATACGCGTTCCTCTTTGATCGATGGACAAAGGACAGTCTCCGGTTGGGCAATGGCGCGCCTCGTCTAATCAATCTCCCTTTGCAGTGGCTCGATTTCAACGAATACGATACTCGAAACGCAAACTTCAGAGACCCTGGGTCGATGAAGCGGCTGTGGAAATCGTTTAAACTTCGCCAAGGAACTTATTCCCAAGAAAAACGCCGGAAGTTAATTAACAGGGAAACGAAACGTTTGCAAAGTTTGGAAATTTTCGTTGTTTCACTTTTAGGGGGGGGAGCAAATTTACCCGTGAGACTCTGAATTACGAAGCAGTCCGTGGGATCGATGGTCGATTTCTTTATGGTCGGTGAAAAAAGAAATCGCTGAGAAGCGTTCTATAAACGGATGCTTGGCTATTTTCGTATGGGCGAATTGTAAAGGTGGTTATAAACGCACTGACCTCTCCAAGATAGTGACGCGTGACGTGACACCGTTTTGGAGGGCCACCAATTGCGCTTCCCATTTAGCGCAGCCATTGATCTAACCTCCCCGAAAATCCAACTCGCGTTTAAATATAAATTAAACAAATTCGTCTCGGATGCTATCTTCTGACGACTAGGAAAGCGAAACTTTTACAATTTGGGAGCGAAAGTTAATTATTTGCATCAATTGAGGGGGTTAAAAATATAAATATTGAAAGCAAATCCACCTTGATAACAATAGATCTAAATTTTGGGAGTGTTTAGACCCACTTGATCATCTTTGTTTCATTGCAAATTGTTATTCTACCATTTTGGATTTTTGTTAGACACTATTGCATTGTTTAAAAATTGTGTATTTAAATATTTTTAATATTTTGTCCCTATGGTGTTTATTTAATAATGATAGATCCTCTTAATCATTTTTATTTGATTGCAAACTCTTATTCTGCCATTTTGGATTTTTATACCAGCACTATTGCATTATTTCAACATTTTTAATATTTTGCCCTTATGTTATTTATCTAATTTTTATTAAAATTGCCTTTGCACCCTCATTTTATATTATAAAGTAAAATAAAGTAAAATTCTGTATCATTATTGAAATAAATTTTGTCTAAACTAGAGAATAATTGTTCTAATTCTTAATGAAATAGATCTAATATATCCTGCTATATCTAATTTCTATTAAAATTACCTTTGTAGCCTCATTTTATGTTACAAAATAGAAGAAAATGAAATCCTATACAATTTTGTCTAAATTGGAGTACAATTGTTCTAATTCTTAATGAAATATATCCTGCTATATCTAATTCACACTAAAACTGCCTATGTTCCCTCATTTTATATTAGAAAACAAAATAAAGTAAAATTCTGTATAATCATCCAAATAAATTTTGTCTAAACTAGAGCACAATTGTTCTAATTCATAATGAAATACATCTAATATATCCTGCTATATCTATTTTGTATTAAAACTACCTTTGTAGCCTCATTTTATATTACAAAATAAAAGAAAATAAAATCCTATACAATTTTGTCTAAATTAGAGTACAATTGTTCTAATTCTTAATGAAATATATCCTGCTATATCTAATTTACACTAAAACTGCTTTTGTACCCTCATTTTATATTAAAAAACAAAATAAAGTAAAATTCTATATAATCAACCAAATAAATTTTGTCTAACCCAGAGTACAATTGTTCTAATTCCTAACAAAATAAATAAAGGCTCTCAATATGCTTTTAAATAACAGACAATCTATATATCCCCATATCTGTACACCTAATATATCTAATCACGTTCGTTTGGTTGGAAATTCCGCGAAATACGATAAAATGTACGAACGAAGGCGTCCATAAAATGTCGACTGGGGTGTCGTATGGCGTTTCCAGAGTAATTTACGGGGCACGGGAATGGCCCAGCTGGATTTACGAACGCTGATTGCTGCCTCTATTCACCGAGGAATGCGTGTACCCATCTTGGCCTGGCGTCTAGCGAACGTTGCATTTCTAAAATGGCGTCGCCATTTTCGAACCTTGTCGTTTATAACCACCCTCGACGACCCGGCGGACTCGTATAAAATATGTTGCCCGCGAGGATGATCGAGAGGCGTTCTTTGGATTAATCTGGACCGAGGAATTCTTTCCGGGGATGCGACGAAAGATCCGGGGAAACGTTTTAACGGTACGATGGAACTGGGTTACGGAACCGTGGGGGAATTAAAACCACGGTGTGCAAATTCACGCCTCGCGGAGGGCGTGAAAACGGCAAGGAAACCCGGCTAGAATATCCGTTGCGTGTGCATTGCTCGAAAAACGGTGACACGACTGATCTCCCTCCGTGAATTTAATATCGTCCAGCTGGAAATAAACGTCCCGGAAATGGCGAGAGAAAAAAGACAGAGAGAGAGAGACGAAAAAGAAAATGGACGTGATCCAACGGGGGGGAACCCCTTGGAAAACTAAAAAATTTTCCCCACAAAACGGATTATGGGATTAAAAATTAAAATGAGACTTTTATGAGTTTGGGTTCGAGTTTATGGATTGTTATTACTGGTCGGTGGTTGAAGGGAAAAATTCTTTGGGGCAAAAAGATGTGATATGGGAGGGTGGACGAAGTAAAAATCGTGTAGAAAAAATTTGGAAAAATTTCTGAGACGTTGACAGGCCCGGTGGTCACCGGTGACCGTCGATTGCAGTGAATGTAACTTCATATTTATATATATTTTTGTAATTTTGTTGCCATTAGGAGTGC